CCCCCCCCCCCAGCCCCTCACACAATTTGGTACATTTTTGGTATTTTAACCTTTGTGGAAATCGTTTTTAAGGAATTGGAGATTTATATAGTAAGAGTTGTGGTTGGTAGACTGGCTTTACTCCTTAAAGTCCTTCCACTCTTCTGGGAGAGATTAAGATTAACTTCCCTAATCAGTATTAGCAGAAGATAAACTTGTTTATATGTTCTGCTATTTCGTAGATACCATTTTGGTCCTTATTTCGTAGAATGATAAATTCTCTTTGTACACCAGAGAAAACCCTTATAAAATTCAAAAAGTGAGTAAATAGGCCTGGACTTAATTCCAAGAGTTGACAGGAATTAATTGCAATTATTTTTGCGGAAATGATTACAATGCTTTTAATGAAATGATGAAGCTGCTATATTATAAACGTGAGGCAGATTACCCCTGTGTAGTGCCAATTTTCAGTTCTTATTCTGTGCTGAATCATACTTAATACTGTGCATCAAGTTATACACCAATCATTTCTTTTTTATATGCAATTCTCTTTAATTGTAAATTCTTTGCAGTTAGTTGAGATTATCACAAGCAGCTTTAATATATTTGAATTAATTAGTTACTGTGCATCACCCCCCAATTCTAAATTAGTTCTTAGATTTTGCTCAGTCCCATGTGTTATTTTCAAAATACTCTCATTTGAAAATTTAGCAAACTTGAATCGGATTGCATCATATTTCTTAATATAGAGGTTCTTATAACTGAAAAATTAAGTTAAACACTTAATAAATAGCTACTCAACAACATTTAGATGTTTGTTAAAGATATCTGGTTTTTATCCTTTTCTAACTAATAATTTTAAAACTTTCTGAAAAGGTAACTGAGATTGAGGGGCAAGGTACTTTCTTCTTACAATTTTTCCATTTTAAATGTGCTGTAGAGTCCAGTTTGGGAAGACAAATTTGTCTTCTTAAAGATGTTCTGGGAAACTAAAAAACTGAAGGATTGGAAGAAATCACAACAGGATGGAATAGTTACAATAGATTTAACAGGGAATTTCATGTTGATTTCTTAGTGGTAGGTAGGGCCTGGACTTAATTTAATAGCACATTAATACTGATTTTTAGATTTCAGAGTAATGTCAAGAGGTTCATTGTTCTCTTTAAGGTGTCAGGCCAGACTCCTTCAGTTTCCAATAACAGTTATTGGATCGTTAGAGTAAAATTTCTGAGAATGGACATTTCTTAACTTCTTTAACTTTGGCCATTAAAGTCAAGAAGCTCTCATTTATTAGTAAACTTTTCTCGTTATAATTGTACTTTGATTTTCCTCTTTTTTGAAGAAGAGCATGGTTGGTAGTTGAGAGTATAGGATCTGGACCTAGACACTTCTAGTTAAGAGTCCAGTTTTTTCGCTTGTTAGCTTTGTGAGCTTGGGCAAGTTACTGAATGCTGTTGAGCATATTTCCTCCTTTTGGAATGATAATAATAGCAACCATCTCAGTGGTTATTGTCAACATTACATGAGATAATGTTCACTGTATGTCTGGTTTAGGAATCTTGGGAACACTGTATGCTTGGAAATATGCATTACCTGTTAAAGTTCTATTTAAACTTCCACAACACTTAAAAACTTTTTTGCAAGTGTTTCCAAATATTTATGTTAGTTCTTCTCCCCGCCTTCATAGATTTTTTCTAAATCTCCTAAAAATGAAGGCCAACATTGGATTTAGAGCTTTAAAAGGGGTTCTTTTCCAGTTAAAACAGTATATCCCTGGGTTATGTTGGCAGCTAGCATCGGTTACTCTTCTTGAGCATCTGTTCTTCTCTCTACTCTCGTGTCCCTTCTTCACAATTCCTTACCCTGCTGTTTCCTCCCCAAATAGGCCACTTGTATTTACTTTGGGCATCAGAGATGAGAGTTGTAAACAAATATACTAGGCTTAGAGTTTATTTCAGTAAGGTATGTGCAAGTAACTTAAAGGTATGTGCAAGGAGTGGCAGTAACTTAAAACATTTTTTGTCTTGACTCCACAGTTAAGAGTAGATAGTTGCATAAATACTTATCTTTGCTAAACATGGTAAGTTGATAAAATACTCCTGGTAAAACATGTGAACCTACACAATAGAAAAACTCCTTTGCTTATGAATTTCTCCAGGTAAGACTACTGGCCTCTGTCTCAAGGCAAGGCTTCAAGCTGTATGTTAGTCTGATTTTTTGAGGCTTGATTTGTATGAAATCTGTATTAGTGCAGTCTTTTACCTGAACTGTGGTAGTTTCCTGCAGTCCACTGGAAAGCATTTTGTGCCATTGGGAGAATGTCCAATCTTTACCTGGTGATTTCCATTGTCTGCAGCACTAATGGTGTGTGGGCCCAAAGTTAAGATTTTGTGGTTATATTCTATTGTTGTATATTAAGAATGATGTGTAGGAGGCTGAGGAAGATTAGTCTTGACTGATGTTTTCTGAAGAACTCCTAACAGTTGATTATGTTTGCTGGTGAAATTAAAAAAAACTGTTACCATACATGAATGTTAAAGATTTGGATTAGATTACTGAGTTTGTTCATAGATACGGCCTCTTAAAATGTAATTTTTAACATATAGATACTTCTTAAAATAATATATTCTTTGTTAAAAAATTTTTTTAATGTTTTCTAATTTTGAGAGAGGGAAAGGGAGACACACAATCTGAAGCAGGCTCTAGGCTCTGAGGTGTCAGCACAGAACTCGATGCGGGGCTTGAACTCCTGAGCCGTGAGATCATGACTTGAGCCAAAGTTGGGACTCTTAACTGACTGAACCATCCAGGCACCCTTAAAATACTGTATTTTTATCTAAGATTGTTAACGTAAGTCTGTTTATAAAGTAGGAGAAAATAATCAAAATTAAATGTGTTGTTAGATAGTTTTCTATTAAGAAATTGATTTTAATTCATAAGAATGTTCTCTTTTTATCTTGTTTCTTTTTTTTTAATGATGGGACTAACTATCCTGTTGGTGGATTTTAGCCAGCTTTCTGCGACTTGTGGTGTATGTATTGTATATGTTTTCTGCCTAACTACAGAGCTAGAAAAAGAATTTGAAGCTAAGTCAATCATATTGCTCAGTATTTTTGGTAAAAGTTTGGCAAGAATTTTTGAAATAACTAGATCTTGGAATTTTAAAAATAATTTTATACCTCTCTTTCTTGGAGCATCAAGAATTAACTCTTTTGTATGTATATTGAGATTTAGATTAAAATTCACGTTTCTGCAATAAAGACTACCAAACCCATATCATTTGCCAGACATGACTCTTTCAGAAAAATGGAATATATAAAATCTACATTTATAAAAACAAAATTTAAGTCATTTCCTCATGACTTGTTTTTCCATAGCTTTTGAAGTGATTGTGAGGTTTTTTTTTAAATTGTGGTTAAAAAAAAACCCCCACATAATGTAAAAATTCCCATCTTAAGCATTTCTAAGTGTGCAGTTCAAGAGTAAGTGTATTCATGTTGTTGTGTAACTAGAATTTTTTTACCTTGTAAAACTGAAAGCATTAAGCATTTCTCCTAGTTTCCCCCTCCTAGTTCTTGATGACCATCATTCCACTCTGTTTTTATGAATTTGACTACTGAATACCTTACGTATGTGGAGTCATAAAGTTTTTGTCTTTTTGTGACTGGTTTATTTTACTTAGCATAGTGTTGTCAAGATTTATCCATGTTGTAGGCCTGTGTGAAAATTTCCTTATTTTTAAGGCCAGTATACACTACATTTTGTTCATCTATTCATCTTTCGGTGGACACTTAGGTTGCTTCCACGTGTTGGCTGTTGTGAATAGTACTGTTATGAACACGGGTGTACAAATATCTCTTATAGATCTTGTTTTCAGTTCTTTTGGATATATCCCCAGAAGTATGTTGCTGGATCGTATAGTAACTAT